GGAGCAGCAACGGCAGAATCCAATGTTCCGCCTTCGAACTCATATACGGCACGACATTGCATCTGCCTGGGGAATTTCTTCACACCACGGAGCAGCGATTTTATGTATATCAGATTACGTCCAACGACTATCTGCGTTGATGCGAATACTGCCTCCGGTGTGAACTCGAATATAACATCGACAGGTCGCTCTCCCTTGAGATTTATTTACCTGTCCGCAAGTTTTCCTACTAGTAGATTCGGTACTCAACAACCTTACGAAGGATCTTTTCACGTGATCTCTCGTCACGAAAAGACCTTCAAGGTTGATGGACACAGTCAGCATTGATCGTCTCATACCAGCACACGTCAATGACAGTGCCCTACCTGGTAAATCGAGATTTAATGCTGGACTCGTCCAACTCACTAGCGGGATCCTTATTTTTCCTTCTGATCCCACGCTAGCGAAATCAGAAACCTCATTCTCACGTCCCAGTCAGCAGCACGCGCCATCTGCACTATCTACGGATGAGACTCCGGTCTCACGTCCAGATCAGCAGACCACGCCGCACTTGACTGCGGATGAGAATGCAGGCTCACAAGGTACGCACGAGGCTACTGTCTCGCGTTCCGGTCGCCGCGTACGCCTACCTGTACGCTTTCTCGAATAACTACCAATCAACCACGGGTTCGGCATAGGATTTTACACTCGTACTACATGCATGCTACACTTTTCTCCCTTTTCTTCTTTTTTTATCCCGAGCCTATACCTTCGACCATTGCCCTGTTGGTACCGTCGACTTCAGTCAACCTTGGCGAAAGCTGGCCTGATCACCCACGCTCTTGTCAATGCACTCAGTCGATTTTCTGGTGACGAATATATCTGGTATACGAATGGTTTCGAAATGGTCGTTTCTGGCTCCGCTCAATCTGGTTCCGTCCTACGTCTGCAGCTTTATCTGGTCCGAACGCCTACGAAAGCAATCTTCAGACTCTGGATACGAGCCACGCTGGTGTGGCATGCCAACCCGATAGACAAACTTGGCACATCAACTCGAGCAGCAAACCTGGCACGTTACTACTGGTACAGTTCAACGTAGAAGACTATCGGTGACAACTCGAGCTTCATTGGTCGCTTCCTGTTCGTCAACCCTTCCGCGCTAAAACCAAATGTTGGCCGACCAGCCCCTCGTCAAACGTAGCCGCTATGTATCGAAAGTGTAAACCCTTTCTAGGCGGGGGCTGCTGTAGTGGAACGCTTCTACGAAGAAAATGCGATTTTTGAAATGTGAACATTATTGTACTCGCTGTGTTTAACTGTACCAAAAACACTTCTACTACTTCTTGCGCGCAACGTTCTCTTCGCGTTGCCGCCATGTTTCTTTATTTGCTGCTCCCTATGTAACGCCAACGTTCTCCTTTAATAAACCACTGAACTATGGATTTATTTTGTTCTCCTTTTCATCACGCAACCGTATGGAACATTTAGTGGTGGGCATAGTCAAGCTGGTTTCCGGACTCGCTCACTAAAAATGTCTTGGATACCTAGTTGATGGTAATGGTTTTAGACCAGATATGAAACGACTAGCTCCACTGACAAATGCACCGTCTCCAAAAAATCTTACGGAACTACGTTCACTAGTGGGTGCTCTTCAATACTATTCCCGTTCTATTCCTAATTTTTCTTGTCGTGCAAATTGTTTATTTAATATTTTGACATCCAATTCATTCAAATGTGGTGAGGAACAAGAGTCATGCTTACGTAGTCTACTAAAGTTTCTTCAAAGAGATGCTGTTCTTCGAACTTACTCCCCTAGTCTACAGTCTGTGCTTATCACTGATGCGTCACCTGTGGGTATTGGCGCAGTTTTGGAACAGGAAGGTAGACCAGTTATTTGTGTTTCACGCAAACTTACTGTTACTGAACAAGGCTATTCACAGACTCAGCGAGAGGCATGAGCTGTGTTTGGGTTGTTAAAAGACTTCATAAATATTTATTCGGAAAGAAATTCACTATTGTTACTGATCATGAGGCTTTAGAGTTCATTTATCATCCTGAAAAATCCTTAACACGTGCCTGAGCTGCTATGGTTCAACGATGGAGTAATACTTTGAGTGCCTACGACTATACGGTTCAGTACAGGAGTGCCAAACAAATTCAACATGTTGACTACATTTCTCGACAGCCATTACAGGATAAACCTGTTAATACTTCCGACTGTTTTGTGGCGCAACCTTTACCAGTGAAACGTCCAGATATCATTAGAGATGTATATAATGTATAATTATTGCTATACGGAAAGGTTGGAATGCTAATCTGAAACGTAGATTCCCTATCTATTTTTCAAAGCGGGATGAGCTATCCACTACTCCTGATGGTATTTTGTGTCCAAATGATCGGGTTGTTATTCCTCCTTTATTGCGTAAAGCTGTCCAGGAAGATCTTCATAGTGGACATATAGGTGTTGAGAAAATGAAGTCCTTGGCGAAGCTCACGTGTTGATGGCCAGAGATAAATGCAGATATTTGTCGTACAGCAAAGAATTGCGAAAAGTGTCATAAGCTGAAAAATCAGCATTCGAAGTGGACTCCATGGCCAGTATCGTCGGAGGCCTGGCAGAGAATTCATGCAGACTATTGTGGCCCGTTTCTTGGCAAATACTATGCACTTGTAGTCACTGATTCTTTTTCAAAGTGGCCTGAAGTTTTTTTCACAACTTCATCAAATTCTGACTTCACATTTCAAGCATTAAGAAAGGTGTTTAGTCGAGAAGGGGTTCCAATGGTGTTAGTGACTGATAACGGCACTCATTTTGCTGCAGATGCAGTTACTACTTGGTTAAATTGTATAGGGTGCAAACATCTGTTTACTGCTCCCAGACATCCTTGTTCCAATGGTCAGGCAGAAAATTTTGTCATGACGTTGAAAACTGCTATTGATTCTATTGCCGCCTCAACATTTAATGAGCTGGAGAGGGGAGTAGATACCTTTTTACTGCAATATAGAAGTGCCAGACATTCGGTAACGAAAGAGACTCCATCAAAGCTATTAAAAGGAAGAGTTCTTCGGTCGAATATGAGATGTTTGGAGTCTGCAGAAGTTACATATTATCGTGGCAATGATCTTCGACCATCCACGGGGATTGTTCTAAAGAATGTTGGGAAATCTATGGTGCGACTTCTAGATATCAATGACTTAAGTACACACAATCGACATGTTGATCAAATACAATTCCAGGAACCAGGTGAGTCTGTTCCAATTTCGGTTGTTGATTCTAATACTAATGAGAGCATTCTAGATAATACAGAGCCTTTATCCAATACACTGTCGGACAGACACAGGATGAATTTGAGAAGAAGACGTACAATTGATTACTGACACTTGGATTCCAATTTAAGCTGTGGCGGATGTGCTGTTTGAATGAACTAGTAAATTCTTGTTGTTGTTGAATGCTTGATTTCGAATTCTAAATACAGTACATTCGTTCGTGCTCATCTCGTAGTTCTTGATACTTAAATACAAATAGTTCTAATTATCATATGTACTCGTTTTGTTTAACTGTACCAAAAACACTTCTTGCGCGCAAAGTTCTCTTCGCGTTGCTGCCATTTTTCTAAATGCGTTGCTCCCCATGTAGTGCCAACGTTTTCCTTCAATGATATACTCAACCAAGGATTTATTTTGTCTTAAATACAGGACCGTACGGAACATTCAGTGGTGAACATAGTCAATCTGGTATATTGACTTGCTTACTAAACTTCGATACCACGAAACCGCCAGCAAATGTAATCCCTTGTATGGATTAATTTTTTTCTCTATCCTTGATTCAAGGAGATATGTTTGGTGAAAGGAACCTAATTGCCATGTAGTGGTGATCATAGTCAATCTCGGCTATGCTGACCAGTCTAGATATGTGGATCACAATCCTCAAACCCAAGGGTAAAATAAATGCCACTCACCTCGACTAGGTTAGTCATAAGTTCCTAATCAGCAACTCTGGATTGATAGGTGTTATATAGACTGACTAAAGTCGACTTTCGGTGGTCGGACACTTGGGTTCGATTGTTATTACATTACACAGCTTTTTTTTCCTGATTTCTTTTGCGGCTGGAAGTTAATTAGTTCCCTATTACCATAGATTATTTCTGTGTGAGCCTAGTCAACCGATCTGGAGTGATTAACTGTCCATGAATACTTATAAACTTCTGTTGATTGTTGTAGTAATTAGCCATGATTTGATTTTATCTAAAATTGTGGCTTTAATGCTCATTCAAAGTCTTTCCAGATATCCTACAATTTCATGAATTTCGCCTCTGCTTCACCTTCACATCTGCATCAGTTCCCCATTTCTATGGATGACAGCGTCCATGTGGGCAACCCTTCGCACCGCCTTTATGGCGTGTTTGTTAAGTGTTCCTTGATTGATACTTAATTTTTTGTGCTCTTAGAAACCAGCTTCTCATTTTATGAATGTTGAGGTTTAGTGCATCTGAGGCCTCCGCTTTTCGGCTATATTATTCTGCGTTTGTCGCAGTGTAAAGAACAGGAAAACTAGTTCGTTCACAGACTCCGAATCGTTTATCAAAATCGAAGCTATTTGCTAACTGTTATACTCCTACTATATGTCTTCCATGAGTAACATTTGGCTGGATTACATCGTAAGAATTAGTTATGTTTGCGAGAATATTCTCACGTACACCAGGGTATCCAAAAAAGTTTCAGCTATCCAGAATCCTTCCAAATTAACGAAGAAGTTCCAAGTCATTAACGGTCGATCGTAAATAGAGCAAATTCCCATTAAGAAATCGGTCAAGGAGGCATTCACTTCAAAATGTTATGACTCGATCACTTTTATTGGATATGAATAGCATATTGCAACTGCTCTCACCCGAAGTCAGTAAAAGAATCTTTCTGAAGAGGTAATATTCAGGAATATTTGTTTTATATTCAGTTCTTGTTCAGCCTCATTAGCCACGTAAGACTTTCTTTTTGGCCGTGGACGGTGTTGCTCCCAGAGCTAAATGACACAACGTGCTCGCCGTTTTCAGTCTGCTTTAGAGAGGCGCATTGCTAAAGAAGTAAGAAGTAATCATCTGATGACCAAATTTCGACCCTGTCTAATTTCCCCAGGTACTGAAATCATGGAACGGTTACATCGTCATCTTGTTTTTTGTGGATAGCGTGTTAATCATGATGCAATTGGCATGTATTGATATTATTCTATCTGGACATGATTGCCCTGGGAAGGCAAACATAAAATCCGGGAGTATATAGCATATCGTCGTAGTCTACCAGATAATCGCCCTAATGAGCATCACTGTATATATGGGATGGATACTGACTTGATATTTTTAGGTTTGACAACAAATGACATCAACATTTGTATTTTACGTGTGAACGTTGTTAAAGCCCAAAATTGTTCGGCTGATAATAAACCTTTCTGTTTTTACCTACTTATCGCTTCTTCGGGAATATATTGATTTGGAATTTGCAGAATTAAAGAAGACATTACCGTTTCCTTATGATTTGGAACGTCTTATTGATGATTGGGTTTTTATGGCTTTTCTACTTGGAAACGATTTCATACCTCATATACCTAATTCGCATATACATGCAGAATCTTTGTTAACTGTCTGGGATACATATCAAGTAGTATTACCGATATTAGACGGTTACCTTGTAGAGTTTGGATATTTAAATCTTCCACGCTTTCATAAGTATTTAGAAGAACTTTCTCAATTTGAGCGTGATTGGTTCGAAGAACGTGAAGCGGCTTTCCAATGGATGCGAGGAAAACAAGGTGCTCGTATGGCAAATGAGCTAGAAAAACTTGGATTGTCATCTGAAGATAATCAGGCATCATCCCACAAAACTGTCTTTTCAACGGGGAAATGTACATCATTAGATAAGAAAAATGATTTGGATGAAATGACTGATTTTATAGATTTATTCACACCACGATCTGAGTGTCAATATGATAATGTTATACTAGATGAAGCTGCGGAATTAATGGAAGAGGGTGTTGTTGTTTGTTAAAGTCAGATGATGATAAATGTAAACAGTTATGTCATAAAAATAATTCATCAAATCAATTTCCAAATAATAATAATACACATGACGTAATGGAAGATAATCATCATCAAGAAGATGATGTGTATGATGAAGCAGAAACGGAATTAGAAGAAGGAAATGAGAATGTCAGTGATATTGAAACTGACACAGATTTATATAAAGATATACTGGTTTATAGAATGCATCGTCGTGATTACTATTCATCGAAACTTGGTATACAACCGGATGATATATCAAGTGATCATGGTGAGAATTCCACGTTAATGTCTCTAGTTCAAGTTTATATCCGGATGCTACAATGGATATTGAATTATTATTATTTGAATGTGTCTGACTGAGATTTCTTCTATGCTTATCATTATGCACCATTTGTACATGATCTTATTTTGTTTACAAAAAAAATTGAGAATTGTCAAAATTTCAATGATGTTAAATTTTCTTGGACAAAATTTCAAACAGATTCACAACCAGTTTTACCATTTGTTCGACAATTAATGATATTGCCATCGGATTCGGCGCATATAGTTCCAAAACCTTATTGGGAATTAATGGTCTCTCCATCTTCTCCATTAGCTAAATTCTTTCCTAAAGAATTTGAAACTGATATCAATGGAAAAATAGCATCATGGGAGGCTGTAGTGTTAATTCCGTTTTCGGATCAAGAATTTCTAATAAATGCTATGAAGGATGGTAATGGTAAACTAACTGAACAGGAAAAACAACGCAATCAACATAAATCCCACCTTTTTTATCGTGCTTGTGTAATTGGACGTGTAAAATCTCCTGTAGAATTAATTACTTATGATTTTTATCGTACATCTGTGAACTATAGTGAATCACAGTTAAGTCAATTTTATACGTCAGTTACTCGATCTGTTGTTGATGATTTTCCAAGTCTATTGAGTTTACCGTTTACTCATAAAATTCAAAGAATACCAGTTTATGTTTTTGAACGCCCCAGCAAATCGGATAGTTTGGCGTTGACAATGAAACCCCATTCAGAATTTTCTAAATATGATAGTCTTAGCCAGTTAGCTGAAAACATTCTTGGGCGTCCTTTTCGAGTTCGTTGGCCATTCTGTGCTACATTGATGCCAGTTAGAATGATGAATAATAGTGAAATTTGGGAACTAGTGGACTTTAATATAGAACCAATCATTAAATCTTCGAGTGATTTACCCTCCGAATCCCTACGGTCTCGTCCACTTTTATCGTCTGAAGAAAGTCATGAATTGAAATGGATCAATAGTCAATTGTCAAGTCTAAAGCACTATTTTAATACTATGGATTAGGTTCAAAAAAGAGCAGAAACCAACACCACTAGAACAAGAGCAGAAGACGCCAAAGCACCCCTACAGTCGGTGGTTGGGCATACGTAACACATATCTCAGCCACCTCAACATGATGACGTTTCAATATTTCACCTGCTGATCTGCCATCCTTACCTAGTACTCGTTTCCTGACAACAGCATTGCTTGCTCGATTGTCCTTGGATATACGAGCAATGTTTCGAAGACACCCATGATCGAAAACCAGTAACCTACGAATATCCTCTATTCTCACTAGCCATGTTTCACACCCATAGGGTGGGGCGGAGTGAACTGCTGAGAAGTAGACTCGCCCTTTGTTTAGCAGACGGACATCTCGCCTATGACATAAATGACGCAAGTTGTTAAAAGTCAATCGAGCCTTCTGTATTCGGGCTGAGATTTCGTCACACGCCAGGCTATCAGCATTCATGAGACTCCCAAAATAAGTGAAACAGTCCACACGCTCAACTACTTCACTCCCTATAACTTCTGCTTAAGACACCTGGAAAAGAGGTTGAGTTAGTTGGTTTTAGGGACCCGGGAGCGTGTCTTCGGAGCACAACGGATAACTACTTGAGATCAGCTGCGCACGGCCTTTTCACGCGAAGTCCTTAACGTATTATCATTTCACGCAACCGTCTACGTACACTTGCAACATAGGATGTCTACCGTCATTGCTTTATTTCAAGGTTGAAAGTAAAGCGCGGGTTTGTTTGAGAGTATGTTGTAGTTTATTGTTATCTTTACGGAATTTGTGCATTTGTTAGCTCTTTGTCTCGTCAGCTCACCTCTCCTTATCCTCTTTATCCCAGTTTCTCGCTCTTATGTCACACTACATACCTCCGTAGTACATTACTACACTCAGTAAATTTAGTTGTGTTGTATATTCGGCCTTCCCCATACATTTTTGTTTCCTATCTTGTAGATTTTTCATTTTTGGTTACAAGGTAGCTTGCTTCATTTAATGGACACATATATTCACAAAACTCATCGCACCTAAAATCTGTCCAATTTACACCTAAGTGAGTGCTCATTAATGGAATGCACGATACACTTGCATATATGTCACAATATTTCTAAAGTTGAAGTTCGCATCCGTGGCCTTGGATAGATTTCGGTTATTAAAGACATACCTAGTATCATGGACGTCCTGAAAACGCTCATAACACTGATACGTCCTCCCAGTCTGTGTTCACAATACATCATCAAAATCAAGAATTTATACAAATAACTATTCTTCTGCTTTCCTTCAAATAGTGTGTAGCTAGGTTAAGAAGTCTAATTTTAATTCAGTATGATTTCGTTTACGGAAAATTCATGTTTACTGTTTAAAACTTCATTACAATTATTTGCGTTTAAGCAATTTAGCTTCTTCAGCTGCTCCTCTAGGTATTCGCAAGATTGACTCTATATGTAACCTTTTGTGACTTGAAGGTATCTGACTGAAAGTCCAAAAGCCTAGAATTCGAGGAAGACAAAGAATTTATACAGCTGTGCCATTGCAAAGAATTTCGAGTCACAAAGTCTCCAATCACTGGTCACGATTATCATGTAGAGCTCAACCAGGTAGTCTACACCTAAAATGGCTCAGTCCGGTTGTTAATGACTTCGTGTTTTGGTGCCATGTTTCTACTTGAATACCTCTAACTTTCTTCCAACCTGCTTTTATGCCAGATTTCATCGCCCATCGAAGTTGGAAGTAGTTAGGCATACGTAACATATCCTAACCACTTCTAGTGATGAAGACTCACTACATAAATTGATTTGCTTACCCTTATCCGTGCCGACACTAGGCCATCAAAACTGATGGAAATAACGAGATAGAAGAAGCGGTCAACACAACCGATTCATTCTCTATCACTAGTTCAGGTTCTGACTCAAGCCAATGCTGAAGCAACCTCAAACGATGAAAGTGTCATCTCTAAATGCATGTCTATGACGAAGTTGAATAAGAATAGAGAAAGTGGGAAAGTCTGATGAACACTTCTTAAAGTAGCCAATTCTGAAGACAGTTCGTCATAACTTACTTACTTACTTACGCCTGTTACCCCCAATGGAGCATAGGCCGCTCACCAGTTTTCTCCAACCAACTCTGTCCTGGGCTTCCCTCTCCAGTTCTGTCCAATGTTTGTTCATTCCTCTCATATCTTTCTCTATTTCTCGGCGTAGTGTGTTCCTTGGCCTTCCTCTTTTCCTTTTGCCTTGAGGGTTCCATGTGAGGGCTTGTCTCGTGACGCAGTTCGGTGCTTTTCGTAGTGTATGTCCTATCCACTTCCACCGCTTCTTCCTGATTTCCTCCTCCACTGGAATCTGACTTTTTCTCTCCCACAGTTCGTTGTTGCTGATGGTTTCTGGCCACTGGATCCGAAGTACTTTGCGTAGACAGCTGTTAATAAACACTTGTATCTTCTGAATGATGGCTTTGGTAGTTCTCCATGTTTCCGCTCCATACAGTAGAACTGTCTTCACATTTGTATTGAAAATCCTGATTTTGGTTTTGTTTGAAAGTTGTTTGGAGTTCCAGATATTTTTCAACTGTAGAAATGCAGCCCTTGCTTTGCCAATCCGCGCCCTCACATCTGCACTGGATCCACCTTTCTCGTCGATGATGCTGCCCAGATATGTGAAGGTGTTAACGTCCTGCAAGGCATCTCCATCAAGCGTGATTTGGTTGGTGCATGTTGTGTTGCATCGGAGAATTTTGCTTTTTCCTTTATGTATGTTGAGACCTACTGCTGCAGAGGCTGCTGCTACACTGGTCGTCTTCTCTTGCATTTGTTGTTGCGTGTGAGATAGAAGAGCCAGATCATCTGCGAAGTCCAGATCGTCCAGCTGCGTCCTAACTGTCCAGTTGATACCGTGCTTCCCTCTAGATGTTGACGTCTTCATAATCCAGTCGATGACCAGGAGAAAGAGAAAGGGTGAGAGTAAGCAACCTTGCCTCACACCGGTCTTCACCTCAAAAGAGTCTGTCAGCTGACCTCCGTGCACGATTTTGCAGTTGAATCCATCATAAGAATTCCGTATGATGTTGACTATTTTCTCAGGCACACCGTAGTGTCGAAGAAGCCTCCACAGTGTTTTCCTATGCACGCTATCGAATGCTTTCTCGTAGTCGATGAAGTTGATGTAGAGTGGTGAGTTCCATTCAATTGATTGTTCCACAATGATCCGTAATGTAGCAATTTGGTCAGTACGTGATCGATCCTTACGAAATCCGGCCTGTTGATCTCGAAGTTGGGCATCTACGAAGTCCTTCATTCTGTTTAACAATACTCTGTTGAAGACTTTGCCTGGTATTGAAAGAAGAGTGATGCCTCTGTAGTTTTCACACTTGCTGAGATCGCCTTTCTTTGGTATTTTGATGAGGTATCCTTCTTTCCAATCTGATGTAACTTGTTCCTCATCCCAAATCTTCTTGAAGAGAATGTGAAATATTTTCGCAGTTGCTTCCACATCTGCTTTCATTGGCTCTGCTGGAATGTTGTCTGGTCCTGCTGCTTTGCCGCCCTTGATTTGTCTGATGGTCATACTGATCTCCTCAATCGTAGGTGCGCCAATATTAATTGGGAGGTCCGTGGATGCTGCTTCGATGTTGGGTGGGTTCAGTGGAGCTGGTCGATTCAATAGTTCCTTAAAGTGCTCCACCCACCTATTTCGCTGTTCGTCAGTGTTGCTGATTATTTTCCCTTCCTTGCTTTTCACTGGTCGTTCTGGTTTACGATAGATTCCTGCGAGCTTCTTTGTTGTTTCGTACAATTGTCTCAAGTTTCCTTCTCTTGCAGCCTTTTCCGCCGTCATTGCTAGATAATCCACATATTTTCGTTTGTCAGCTCTGATGCTCTTCTTCACTTCCCTGTTTGCTTCTGTATACTCGGCTTGCGCCTTAACTTTCTCTGCTCTTGTTCGGCAGACATTGATAGCTGCCTTCTTGTTCCTCCTTTCTTGAATTTTTTCAAGAGTACCAACAGAGATCCATTCCTTGTGATGGTGCTTCTTGCGATCAAGGACCTCCTGACATGTTGAAGTGATTGCCTCCTTAATCCCTTTCCAATTGTTCTCCAATGTTGCTTCCTCTCCATTGAGTAGATCCTGAAAGGCCTGGAACCTATTGGTGAGGGCTATCTTGAATTCGTTGAGTTTGACGGTATCCCGAAGAAAGGCGGTATTAAACTTCTGTGATGTTGTCTGCCCCGCTGTCCAGTGCTTCTTTAGCTTCAATTTCATTTTGGCGATCAGCAAGTGGTGATCTGAAGCTATATCAGCTCCTCTCTTGGTTCTCACATCCTCCATGGTCCTTCTGAACTTTTTGTTGATACAGATATGGTCGATTTGGTTTTGAGTAGTGTGGTCCGGTGAAATCCATGTGGCTTTGTGAATGCGTTTGTGCGGGAATATTGTGCCACCGATGACCAGTTTGTTGAAGGCACATAGGTTTGCAAATCTCTCACCGTTTTCGTTCCTTTCTCCCAGTCCATGTCGTCCCATGATGTCTTCATATTCAGTGTTGTCCATTCCAACCTTGGCATTCAGGTCTCCCATAAGAATCGTCAAATCCTTTGGTGAACATTTATCGACGACTGACTGCAGCCTTTCGTAGAATTGATCTTTAACGTCGTCATTGTAGTCATTGGTAGGTGCATAACATTGGATGACGTTCATTGTAATGTCCTGTTTCTTTGTTTTGAAGGATGCTTTAATGACCCTGGGTCCATGAGATTCCCATCCTATCAGTGCCTTTTGTGCATGTTTGGACAGCATCAGTGCAACTCCTTGTGTATGTGAAGCGTTTTCCTCTTCATGACCAGAGTATAACAGCAGTTCCCCTGAAGCAAGTCTCAGTTGTCCTACCTGTGTCCAATGTGTTTCACTGATGCCGAGCACCTCGAGGTTGTATCTTTTCATTTCTGCCGCAACTTGAAATAATCTTCCAGTCTCCCACAGTGTACGAACGTTCCATGTACCTAAAAAAATGGTTGCTC